TAATAAGCGCTGCTTTATTTCTATAGCCTGCGAACAGGCTCCAAGTGAGGGCGGAAAATCCTTTTTTTCGCGCTAGTCGACTTGCTTCGCGCGACGACTTTTTTTTCGCCCTCGCCGGGAGTCCGTTCGCAGGCTATATTTCTAAATTTAAGCTTACCGTCCACGCTAATACGTCGCGAAAACCAAACTTTTCGAAAACGCTTTTCAAACCTGAGGAATTTAAAAACGCCGACTTTTTGTTTTAGCGTTAACAGAAAACATGTTGAAAACGGAACTCTTCGAAAACGATGACGTCACGATAATCATGTGATTTCCCCGCCCTAGTTTTCCTCAAACACAAATCCAAAATGACCGGTGATTGTTGCGTTTCCAAATTTCTCCGGCGTATTGTGGATGGAAAACATTTGATGCGTTTTCAGAGTGAAAAAGCCGTTTTCAAATTTCTCCGGCGTGTTGTGGACGGAAAACATTTGATGCGTTTTCAGAGTGAAAACGCTGTTTTCAAATTTCTCCGACGTTAGGAAATAGACGGTCGGGTTTAAAAACCAATCGTAGACCGCAGTTTGTTCTGTAAATATAGACAGGCCGATACTGCGCGCCAATAGCAGAAAAGAGGGAAATATCTGACAAATTTCGGTTTCCAGCGAAACTAATCTATAAAACAAGCTTCTACAGCAGAGAGGAAGTTAGTTAAGCAGCATTACTTTCAGCAGAGTTCACAGGTGAGTTTGTTCATGATAATATGTAAGTTATCCACTTGTATTATTATTTTTACCATTTCCATGAAAATTCAAGGCATCGTTTAACAAAAAGATAAACCATGAAGTGCATCATTCCCTTAAACAGCACAGAAATTTGCAAAGAATATTTGTGGCGCGCGGTTTTGGCGTCGTGGCTGCTGCAAATACTGTCATTTCTTCGCGAAAAAAAAACAAATAAACGTGGAAAAATAACGGAAATGGAAGTGGAGACCGTGGCAGCGTATTTCAAGGAAAGGAGAGTGTATATCACAGCTAAAACGATTGAAGCGTTTATTACCACTTGGTGAGAATAATTCTCTTAAGCTCGAAGCAGTTTCGAACCATTTCGTTCTCAAATTGTGACCATTTATAAACTAAAGAACGAACTCATCAACCCAGGTTTCGATTCGAATGACTGAAACAGAACTTACGAAAAAATCTTCAATCACGCAGCTCCACTTTAATTTTCGTCAATCACATTTTATAAAAACATATATATGTTATTATTTGCTTGCTGGAAAAGGGGAGTCCATATAGAGAAAAACTTTGCCGAAGTCTTAAGTCTTCAAATTGTCACCAGTCACTCTGACTGTCTACGCTCTTCTTTAAACACGTTGAACTTTGCCATTTTCGTTTTTACAATCTCAGTAAACAAATTTTGGTTCGCATGGTCTTTGTGGGGACGGAGAGAGACGTTGCCCTGAGAACGAGGTTGTTTTGAAGATCGCTATCAAAAGAATTCGTCGGTTACATGATTCCACAGACGCGCCAATAATAGTAATAATAGTATTAATAATAATAATAATAACAAAATATTATACAGCGCGACTTTCCATAAAATTATCAAGTACCTTTTAGATAAAAATTAAATATAATCCCTAAAGTCGTAAATTTACAATGGTTGCTAAAACTACAAAACATGTTAAAATCGGATTCTTAAAAAAAAAAAAAAAGAGATTAAAATTCACTAACAGGAAGCAATGAAAATACCAACTTGTATACGTATAGGTCATCATACGGTTTTTCTCGTTCAATTTGGAATTATTTTGCACTTGTGAGTTTTTCAAAAAGCTGAAATTGCATGAGCCGCTTTACTTATTAATAATATAAACAAGAAAAATTTCGCGTGGAGGAAGTGCCAGAAGACCTTTCTTGAAGCCATTTTTTCTCACTCGAGAAAACCTTTTTTAAAGTTTCCCCACAAAATTCTCATCATTTTACGTGATATCATTGGCTTAGAAAATTTCCTATTGTATTTCAGTCAATCATAATCGAGAATTACGATGTGTAATTTGCACTGGTGTTACACGTTTTGCACTGGTGTTACACTTGAAAGCACTGCTCTCAGCCAATCAGAATCGAGTAATTTTTTCAGGCATATTATTACAAGGGTAACATGGGGCCATGACATACACACAGGGTACACAGCTTTAAGACCACTGAGGATAATTGGATGAAAGGTATAGAGGAACAAAGTTAGACACGATAATTATATTACATGGAAATCACCTGAAGTGACACGCAATCTGTTGGCAACGTTTTCTTTTTCTTTTCTTCATTTAAAGATATTTTAATACATGTTTGCCCCAAGAGCTCAAAGGGCTCATTTAGAGGGCTTAAAACTACATTACATGTAAAGAGTACAGTAATAACACACAAGGAACTCAGTCACGGTATTTTGAGTTATTTTGGCCACATACAAAATTACCTTTAAATGGTAGGAAACCTGAAAATAACAGTTTAATAAGATAGAAAAACACCAAAGAGATAATGATAAACCGTAATGGAACAAGGATGGCTAAGGATGGAGAAGATTAACAAGGATTACAAACGACGAATTTGAAAATTTGAGGCTAAACGTTTCAATATGTGCAAACCGTGGCTGAGCTCCTTTGAATATAAGCGCCCTTAACCCTAAGCACTTATTCTGCTAGTAACCATGGGTAAATGGTCATGTTGAGTTGCATTTTAATTCATTTATATCAGCGCTTCCAACCCGTTTTTGTCGCTGTTTGTTCTAAACGCTAGTATTACCAGTTTCAGTATCTGCTCCATCAATAGATCCTAGTTTTATAATCGCTAGTTTCACTCAAGGAAACTTTGTCTCGCCACAGGAATCCAACAAGGAATTCTCAGTAATGGTGTTCGAAGGGTCTCTATATAATTCTGAGGCTGCCATTTCCCGGATGGAACCCATACCTCTAATCTCTGCACAAAGAGTGACGCAAAGGCGCGGTCACAAATTTAAGTCGTATCTTAGCAACCTCGCCTGCTTTCTGTACGTCATTTTTCTTCTGTGGCAGCTGGTGGGGACGGTGCTGTACTTCATGCGCGCTTACTACTGCTGCTTAAAGGAGCGACATGCATCCTTTAGATGTAAAAACTTTACAGGGATTGCTCACTCCGAAGAATTGGAGCTGACATGGCTTATTTCCCAAGACGTCAACGTTGTAATTCTGGTGTTCGTCCTGAGAAAAGTTCCTGGATTTCTAGGATACTCGGTTATATTTATTAAATCCGTCCATCTGCCGGCGTTTTGGACCCTGTCGATGTTGCTCACGTTGCAGATCATTGGATATGGGATTATTATGTACTTCAACAGCGTTTCTTCCATGGAGATATGCCTTATCATTGCGTTTTGCTTCTACGGAATTGCACTCCTTGGAATGGCATGCATACTAAACTTCACCCCTGTGCATCGAGTTAAATATTCAAGTGGATATTTTGCATTTTTGCTTTGCAAACTGACATTAGTGACACTATTCGTTCAAATATTTACTATTTTTGTAGTTGGCACTATTCAGTTTGCTTTTAAAGTGACAGGCTTGGATGAAGTGGGCACGTCAGCCGATTTTGTGACACTTTTTCGCAAACTTCGCGAATTTCCCCAAGTGATCTTCTTCTACAGAATGGCGATTTTCGTCTGGCATAAACTGTTCTTAGATAATAGGAACGTGTTGAGTCACTGTCAACTTTTGAAGTTAAATGATCGAAATGAAGGCGAACCTTAACTTTGCATCTGTATGCAAATTCCAGTATAAGTCTGTAGGTAATTATAGACACTAGCCTCTCAGCAGCCAATGGAAGATTGAAAATATTGTGTATAATAATTATATTATGGTATTTTTAAGCAGTCAATCGCAAACATTATCGGACCAGACTTATAACAACATTGACTGACTAACACTATTCACTTGACTCTTGACTCTGAAGATGACTTCCAATCAGGTTGTTTAAACGTCAATCACCAACAACAGTTCTTTCAGTTCAGAACTACCCTCACCCGGACGATCACACTATACGAACCATTGATACTCCTGATACCTCCTGATACTCAAAACGTTTACTAAAATTGTCCCTTATACATAGCAACCTCTCCATCCCACAATAATCAGGAAGGAATATATATATAGATATGATGATTTAGAAATGTTTGGAATGCATGGTTTGCGACCAGGTGCCTGGGAGAAAAAATCCGATAAAATCCGATGTACATAGCTATAGAAAGAGACACTGCAAAAACGTTTAGCCTTTTTTCTTCCGCATATCTACAGACCAAAGATCGTTCTTTTTTCGGGCCACCAAACATATAATGGTTTTGTAATGTAGCGAGAAGTTGTAGGACCAGTCCATTAAGGAATAGCTAGAAGTTAACTGTCTTAACATGAAGGACGAGATTAACTATAAGGAAGTAAAGCGTTGATATTACTATGTTAGCTATTGTAAAGTTTGTAATTTGCTTAAAAAAGACATTTTTTAGTATTATTGTTGTAAATTAACGATGAAATAGCTTTATCAAGGGTCCTTAATAAAGATATTGTATTTTATATATACCTAAAATAAATGCTGTTGATAGGGGTACTGGAATGTCAGTCATCAATTACATGTTTGTCGATTTCTCGGCTATGAGTTAAATTTGTTTTGACCAAAGCTCAGTGATCCCGTTAAACACCAAACAACACCTCTTATCCCAGGAGAAGAAAAATTGAGCAAATTTATTATTTCACTAATTCTTACAGTCTATGAAATAAAATACAAGAAACAAGTTGCAGAACTAGAGCGGTTTTTACTTAAGTGTCGAAACGTAATTGGTTTTGCATAGGTACGATACATGATTGGCTTAAAAAACTCGCGCCACTTTTTCATCCAATCAGAAGTAACATCAAAACCAATTTATTGTGACTCACTCGCACACATTTTGCCGCGCCTCGCGTCAGCTGCATGTAATTACATCAAGTTTTGATTGGTTCATTGAGTTGTTAGTGTTCTTTGTGATTGGCTAGAGTGATTACATTGGTTCTGCTTTTACGACAATCAATTGAATATTGCTCTATAGCCGCAGCCCGTGGATGCATTCTCTGTTTTATTAATTTCTGCGTCATATAGAGTTGCAGCTGCTTCATGTAGGAGTTTGAATTACCAGATAATTTCCATAGGAAATAAATCACTCAGTGATGTTTCCAGAGGCTAGCGGGCACACTACATGATCGATGTATGAACAGTCCGATAAATTTTTCACGGAATTATCTCAAGGTAAGATAGTTCGTCCTCAGAACAGTCCGGCTTCTCTGTGTTCTCGTGATCGCTTTTAATGATACTAAGAGGCTCGTCGTAATCGCTGGCTAACGCATGATATTCATGCGAGGAATGTTCTCTTTCGCCTCCCTGATTGGGTGTGTCCATATGGGATACCCTGTACGCTCCTTCAGTTTCGTCGTCATTTCCGCTCTTATTCAACGGATACTTGCTTGTAAGCTCGCTGCTGTTTTTTCTTCTTATGGCTAAACGTCTAGAGATGGGCAATTCTCCAGGCTTTTTGTACAACGCCGCGTATTCAACGCGGTTGTTCTCATTGCTTGTTGTTTGTGTTAATGCATGATATTTCGGATCTTCGCGGTTATTTGGCTCTTGAAAATGAACCCCCATCTGGTCGGCACCTCGGAGATTATCTACCCTTCCTTCTTGGTGTAGTAAAGATCTCGTCTGCACGTCATAGTGGATGGAATTAACAGTTATTTCGCCATTTTGTTTGCGAGTTCTCTGTTTCAGGCGCCAAAGGAGGAAGCCGATGACGCAAATAAGGACCACGATCACGCAAGCCAGCGGAATTACCGTGACGGTCCAGTGGATGAATCCGGAAGGAAGTTGAACTGGAATTTAACAAATGACGAAACATTATAAGTATTTTTAAACATTATTGGTGTTTTAGTTGTCAGAATTTTAAACTATCAAAAGCTGAGAATAAACGCAGTTTTAAAATAGGCGATTTCTTTAGCAACAAGTGTGACAACTGTTTCTCCGCTGTGAGGCAATAGCTCTACGGAACGTCACAGTATTTGTAAAGACTTGCCGGAGTTGTAGAAAAAACGGAGAATTGAGTCATACTTTTCGCGACAATTACGAAAGCAGAAGCCCGTATTTGAGGGTGTGTTACAACAGGTGAGGGGATTGTGTCACAGCGAATTACGTGACAGGTGAGTGTCACAACAAATTACGTGACTAGACGCAAGAAATGTTACTTTGTGTAACATTGATCTCCATGGGCTGAACCGTCAGGGGTCAAAAGGATGAAACTTTTTGACGTCAAACGTCTAAGAATAACTTGGCAAAGGAAACGTTAAGCTGTTTAACTTGTCGAATCTTCCGGAATGCCACTACTATCGGAGATTCTCTTACAAAGAATTCTTTTTGCCTTCAAAGATGTTAGTTTTTTTTTTTTTCTGACACGTTCCAGGAAAGGAGTAACTCATTATTGGAAAAGAAAGTGTTTTTCTGAGGGACTGGCTCCGGCTATCAAAATTTGCCCCGATCATGACCAAGAAAGACATAGCTGATGCCTTTTTCGACCTGATCATTCCAAGATTATGTTGTTTGTGTTACACCAGTGCCTTCAGCTTGTTTGTTTGTTTGTTTGTTTTTTTTTCACTTAAGTCACTTTGAGACACTAGTTCAGGGCTCATGACTTTTTACACATACAAAAAATATTGCGAAATTCAGCGAAACATTCGAAATCCAACAAAATTCCCTTTAAAATTGAATAGGTTATTTGAATTTTTCCCAGTACTTGTGCGTGACTCACTCCAAGGCCAACAAATTCCCGCGAGAAACCCTCTTGCTTAAACTAGAGCAACAAATATAACACTCGTTACTGACTATATTCATCGCGAGTTTTCAAATGACCACGAGTTAAAGCAAAGTTAAACATATATTTGCATTTTTCAGGCAGCTTTCGTGAAAATTAAATTGAAATTTCTTAAAGGAAAATATATTTCTACTTAAGAAGAAACTGTTTTCTTTTGTGCAATGTTTTGAAAAGTAACTTGCAGAAATATTTTTGAGCGGTCCATCTTGCAAAATTCAGACCGCTCAGGGAACATTTTAAATGCCAATTCTCCAATCGGTCTCCTTTTCGTCGTGGAGCAATTAACAATTTAATAAAGTTACTACAGAGCAGTGTTGCACAGGCCACTCACCTTTCTCTACCATGATCACCGTATCACCGGTTTTGGCTGTTCGCGTTGATGTTGTTCTCTCAGTTCGTATGGCCGGGTTTCTTCTTAGCAGCAGTGATGTCGAACTGCTCCGCGTGTTTGATGCTGTAGTTGGTTTAGCTTCTGTTATCTTTCCTGGATCCTTGCAGAGTAAACTACTCTTCGAACAATCTGTGGAAAAAGTTGAAGAATTATTCCAATTTATAGGTGCCGCCGCATAAAATACCATAGGGTTCGGTTCGGTATTAAGATCTACCACTGCTACGCCTGTCTCGCTTTTTTCCGAGTGTCTTTTCCGCTTTCGGTGTTTATTTTCCACATTTTTAAGATGTATTTTTTAAACAGCCGCGCTTAATTAGATATGGAACAAAATGGCCTTGACTATGAGGTTTACATCACCAATTTATCACATATCGCACCAAGCAATCTCCATGCAACGTACTACTGAACGAGGGCGCCGCACTGTAACACAAGCTGATTTAGTAACAAGCCAAGAAATATAGATTGTTATTAAAATTTTTATAGTCCGGCTTCTCTTTGTGGAAAGCACTGAAATAAAATTGAGCCGGAACAACCTTTTTTGTTCACTGACGGTTATCGATAATATGGGTTGGATTGTCTACAAGACAGCATGCGTTGTTAGGTGGCGGGAATAAGCCATTATCAATAGAGAGTTTAAGCATGACGTTTACAGCAGACGGCAAACGGCAAAGAATACCTCTGAATTCGTGTTCTTTTCTTCTAATCCTTAACTAATTCACACAAAAATAGAAGAATGTCTCCTACTATTCACCGCAAATACAAAAATTTTCACTCTACTGTACAGACAGTTGAAGAGAGACGGCAAAAGTTTCATTTTTGCCGTTTGCCGTTTGATGTAACGTCATGCTTAATCTCTCTAATATATAAGACCGTTTTAACCATAGACCTTGTTCAAACCTTGAAATTTTAACAAGCAATGTCTGAATTATATTTTTAATAGGGACCATCCTGGTATTTCCTCTACTGGGACATTTTTCCAGCCTTAAGCCCGGGCAAAAAAAAAAAAGGATGACGTGGAAATAACACCCCCAACCGTAACAAAAATAAGAACAAATCTGGAACTACAACAACAAACAAACAAACAACTACGCAGGCGGAAGAAAACCCCTTGAGGAATGCTAAAAGCTTGAAGGTTTGGAAAAAAAAACAGAACGGCATTTATTTTAGTATTTCCAGCCGGAGTTATAGAAACACGAGGGGAAGCTCGGGAGAACTAGAAATTCTGTCTGAACACAAGCCACAGGCGAGTGTTTCCACAACTTTTTCGAGTTCTGCCAATTTTTCACTCGATGAAAACATGGAGAAGAGGAAAATCACTCGATTAGAAATCATCGCGTCAAAACTTCGAGCAAGTTCTGAGTTTCTGAATTTACAATTAGATTAAGAGCTCGAGATTTTAAGGCTGGCGAAAAGTCTCGTTTCAATAAAAACAATAAAATACAGAAAAAAAAAAGAGAAAAGTCTCGTTTCTATAGTGGTTATGTACGTCTAGCACACTCAAGCGATCTTTTCACAAAGCTATCTCAGAGTCTCGCTTTTTGCAAGGCTTTTTGAAAGTCTCGAAGCCCCGATTTGTTTGTTTGGGCAATAAATAGAGTCTAAACCTGTCGCGTTCGCATTTTAAAGACTTTGAAGTCTCGGTCTCGCAATTTAAAAAGTCAAAATGTGTCGGGCTCGCAAAGCAAAACGCTAGTCTCGTCTTCTCGCAAAGTCTCACCTTTTCCTTTGACCACCCCTGATTTCTATGAGGTGTTAGTTGATGACGCCAAAGGTCGAATCAATTATCGCCTCATAGTAATCGAGAGGGAATAATCTAATTGTTTTAGTAGAATTCTCACTCTAATTTGCTTCAAATTACAAATTACAGTTTCCAATTCTTTTTAGTCTTAGTTTTAAACTTTACGCTTTAGAAAAATCGGTTGTTTCAATTGAAAGATTGTGGTTGTGTACGTGCACTTATCAGTTTTAATTCTTTCAACAATTTCGAGATTTTAAATTCGAGAAGCTATAATCTCCCTGTCGAAGAATCGAGAAAATGTTGCCATTTTGTTGACCACATTAAGCCACCGCGCAATAATGACTGACAGTGTGCAATGGCTCAGCCAATCAGATTGTAGCATTTGCATTAGTATACTAGTAGAATTCTACTAAATACAAGTACAGCTTTAAGAACTGAGCACGCACTTTCATACAATGTGCTACCTACCAGCTGGTTTCTCGCAAACAAACCCGGCGAAAATATCTTCCCGCACATCATTAAAAAGTCCCTTAGTACCAGGGGGATAGTTCTTGGCCATAACCACGTAAGGAGCACCATCTCGAGGCTGCCACGGTTGCCAGCGTTCAATGCTCAGCGGCTTTCCGCTCACCCAGGTCCAGTTTCTTGCCACAGTGGCGTTGAAGTGCAGGCCGATGTGCCAGTCATTATTAAACAGGTTTGTCAAGTTTTGGATATAATCTTTAATGACTTCCCATTCATGTTCGGTTTCCAGGGATACGAGGTCTCCTCCGTGGTACTGACAGGACTGTCTTGCTGCGGTCCATGTGAGGCCATCCTCGTGAAACGAATAACATGAACAGTCCATGGGCGCCCCTGAAAACACATTATTATTATCATTATCATTATTATTATTATCATTATTAATATCATTATTATTATCATTATCATTATCATTACTTACTAGTAGTAGTATTAATGCGAGGACGAGTAAGATTTCATAAATAGTAGAATGTGTACTGTAAAGTTTGAGAGTAATTTCCTTTTGTTTTTTTTTATTACTTCTCGCGTACAATCGTTGACACAAACCGCAAATACATTTGCTGCGTTTCTGTGACATTTTCAACAAGTCATTCCAATTTTCAGCTCTTCTCAATTTTATTCATTTCTGTAAACTACATTTTCCTTCCTTTTTTAACGACTTTATTACAATTATTATTGTAAATAGTTTAGTGCTGCAAATAATTGTCATATAGTGAAGAATTTTAATGAGCTCAATAAAATTTTGTCTATTATTATTATTATTATTAT